CCCCCACAGGGCCCCAACTCCCCACAGAGGGCCCCAGCCCCCCCACCCAGGGTCCATAACTTCCCTTTCACAGCAGTGGCAGGAGTGGGACACTGAGTCTGCTGCTGCCAGTCCCAGCTCTTGGGGACTATGTGCTGAGCCTAGCCAGGTCCTGCTGGCCCTGAGGCCCCTCTGCTGCCCAGCCAGGCTGGTCCCATGGTGGCAGGACCCAGTGCATCATGTAGGTACCGTGTGCTGGGTCCTGCCAGCTCTGGGGCTCCTTTGCTGCCCAGGCAGTCTGGTCCCATGGTGAAAGGACCTGGCGCGGTACACGGGGACCACGTGCTGGGCCCACCCAGGTCCTGCTGGCCCTGGGGCTGCTTGTGTACTACCTGTAATTAGAACAATATGCAGAAGGAGAGAAAAATCAGTGGGTGTGATTCCTATTTGTGTTATTTTTTAAATGTTGTGTTCCTGTTCATCTAGGAATCAATCTGCTCACTTCTTGTCTCTCCATCTGGGCTTCTCACATGCTGTCACACTAACGTAATGTTGCAGAAGGAGGTGGCTTATGTGACCCAGGATAGTAAGTCTTCAACTTTATAGAGTTGAGAAATAGAGTATAGAAGTGAAGAGTATAGACATACTCTATTTCTACTGCTTGGTAAGTGCCAGTGAGACAACAGCCAGAAGAAGCCTGGTGTAGCATTCAATGTGTAGGACTTAGCGACCAGCCAGGAACTGAAGCTGTGAAGAAATTGGTACCTTTCTGTGGTGTTTCACACTAAGGTGAGCAAGAATTAATGTTCTGTTCTGTTTTAGAAAATGGCTGAGAGAAACCAAAGAGAAGGAGTGTGTGGTCAATTTTAACACATCAGAAATTTGCACTGGAGAGAGCCCAAAGTCCCACAGCAGTACAATTGGTGTTCAGAATATTCATGAGTGATCTGAAAACAAAATGTTAGGGGGCAAAATCTGCAGATGTCACAAAATTATCCAGAATAATTAAGACTAGAGAGACAGCAAGGTACTCCCGAGGGATCCAATAAAGTGAGGTAAATGGATAGCTTAACAACATAGGAAGTGCAAGGGAATTCACATTTTAAGAAAGAATTTGAAGTACACCTACTCATGCTCGTTTCCAAATTCATCTTGATGACCCTGATGGAAGACCTGGACATCACTACAAAAGGCTTAATAAAAGAGTTTACACAGTGCATAATGACGTTGAAATGTAGAAAGAACATTTTAGGATGCATAAGGGGTATGCTGAGAACCAATACAAAGATACCATTGAATGAATGGCCCATTTTACCACATACAATAGACAATTCTGGTCACTCCACCAAATTAAAAAAAAAATCATATATAAAGAGGCTCCCCAAATGGGTAAGGAAGGCATGACAGAAGCATGTCATTTGGCCCACTCTACTCCCCAAGGGTCCATAAATTTGGTGGCAGGAGACTGGTAGCAATGTTAATTGCTCCCCCCCTGCTGACACATTTCTAGACCTGTGAGGAATCCTGTGAGATGAATAAAATGGCCTTGCTTGCTAGACCACACTGGTACACAGACAGATCCAGCCATGCAGGGCAGTCTGTTGTGTTGAATTGTACCTGAAGGGCACAGAGTTGGGCTGGTGCACTGGATCACACCCATGGACCAACCCCAAGCCCGAATCCCATGCAAATCCAGCTGGTGGATTGACCCTACACCACTTTATGAAGATGATGAATAGGAGGAGATAATACTGGTAGTGCATTCCCATACCTGTTACACAGAGAAGGTAAGTTAGGTAAACCCTTCATTGTAATCATAGGTGGCATGTTACATGTTGGGAGGATGCAGGAGCACATACCTCCCAGATTTCTGAGGGTTCATGGAGCACATCTAGGGGGTCTATGAACAGTGGCTGTGCTGCTGCTGTTCCAGCTCCCCCCTGCAGCCAGAGGCCATGTGAATGGCAGCAGCACGCAGCTTAGCATCAGCAGGCAAAGCCTGCTGCAGGTCCCGCTATGGTCAGAGGCCACTCAAGCACCAGCAGCAGAGTGCAGTCAAGTAGCAGTGCTTCATCCTGTCCTTGCCACTGCCTCAGGTGGGATCTGATGCTAAGAGAGAGAGAAAGAGAGATCCACAGGGGGTCCACGCCTCCATTGCCCATTTTCTACCAGAACCTTTAAATTGTGCCCCCCATTACTATCAACAGTTAAAAGTAGCCTATGCGTGTAGAGCAAGAAAGTGGCATCCAGTGAAACTAAAAGGCATCACATGTTTTAAAATGATAAAGAGGAATCCTATTCTCTCAGCACAATCTCTAATTACTAACCTATTTAACTCACCTTTGGAAATACCACTGAGACCAAGACTTTGTAATTCCCCCCCTTCCCCACCATTTCATCCATTGTTAAATCTGTTACTATAATAAATACAAAAGATCTGAATGCCTATGTCAAGACATAACCTAACCATTACAGGTGAAGTGTTAGGAATCCTTACCTGCTACTGGGCTTCTTATATCTTCCTCTAGAATATATGTTGGTGGGCTTTATTAAATGCAATGGGACATTTTCTGCTCCAATACAGAAATTCCCATGTTCTCATGTTTCCGTGACTAAGAGATTCTAGTAGGGGAGCAACCAAAAGCAATACAAGTTTGAGAAAACCAACCTTCACTGCAGAAAAACCTTGACAGTACCTCCATTTAGTTGCACATCACCCCCATTATAGAATCATCATGTAGGGTGGCATTTGAATAGATGTCTTGAGAGTCCCAAATAGGCTTGTACTGATTTAAGTGTGAAAGAGATGTGGGACAGGTGTTCAGCACAATTTTTAAAAAAAGAAAGGAAAAAAAAAGGAGTTGAAGATTTTTGCCTGGGATTGCTCTAGGCATTATTTTATCTTCATGATTCAGCACAAATGCTTGAATGAGAAGGAGAAACAGAACACCTAGCTGATGAACCAGAAGAATCTGCTGTATAGTGCCTGGGGTCTATTCACAGGGCTGTAGCTATTAGATTGCCTTTTTATTTTTTCATGTTTTCCCTTTGTATATTACATTGGAAATTGAGACTGAGCTTCAATCCACAGTAGTAGCCTGTGGCAGTGGGTGGGCTCCTTTGGGAAAGCAGTCTGCACAGGAGTCCTGAACAGAGCCCTTAAGAATATGGATGAAAAGAGAAGAGCTCAGATATGAAGGGAAGTATCTAGAAGAGGGTGAGTTTTTTTATTGTAATAAAGATTTCCAGTGTTTAGCCCTCTCCCCTAATTGCAATTGTTCATATAAAGATTCTGGTTTGGATGAATGTAAATGTTATTCAAATATTGCTGCATGCATGCTGGGTAGTGAAAACTGCATTAGCTAATTGTGCTGCTAATTTGTCTGACTGTCCAAAGTCATTTGATCATGTGTCCGCTCTCTGATTGGATCATCTAAATTTTCTAGCTATTAAATATTCCTGAAAAAACACTAGGATTTTGGTTCTTTTGTCAGGGTAAAATTACACATTACACTTAGACTATACTAAGGGCACTTAAAATGTGAGCATTTCCACATTGAAACTCGTTAGCTCATGCAAAGAGCTCTCTGAGTGTCTCAAGGTTACACCACTTCAGGTGCGGGTTAACTCTGGGCCATGCAACCGAGCTCATGTTAAGGTAACTTCAGTCTGCTCTACAAAGAAATGCCCCCAGTAATTTGCAGTCTTCCAGCATCCCAGGATGCGCTTCTCTTAGCCCCCCATCTACCCAGAACAAGTATAAAGTCCAGGTGTCCTGGTTCCTAGATATACCCCTGCTCTCCTGCCCTCTGGTGGCAAGTCACAGCTGCTCAGGCAAGAAACTGTATTAACCATTAACATGCAACTGGTTACAGCATGTTCTAAGTTTAACCCTGCTTAATATTCCACAGCTTTAGTATGGTTTAGAGTGCAACATGCAACTTTACCCTCAAGGAGGGTGGCTGAAAAAGAGTGGAAAAACAGCCATCATGGAAGTAAGACATAAACCAAGAGTAATATGGGTAATTTAATAATAATTGTTTTGTCATTGTTTATGCCTGTTCAAGTAAATTTGTCCCCTTACCTTTACCCCAGAATAGAAAAAAAATATCATATAAAGCCATATTTGCAAACTAATTAGCAAGCTTTAACTTTTGATACATTCTTGTCAGACTACAGTGTTTCCCAACATTCTAGAAAACTGACCAAATGATGGCAAACAAATCCAAGCATGATGGTTAAATACCTATCTCTGGCTTAGATACTCATGCTATGATGCTTCCATTCCTTCCTTCCTTTCTGTGAAGAGTAGTGAAATTCTTAGCACAGACATTTGCAATAAATGGGCCAGTTCTCACCTCTGAGCTAATGTTTTGGGCTCTTTGCACACTTGGCCAGACAGTGCTACAATGCAGAGCTTCTCAACAATTTTTAGACTCTAGGCACCCCTGGATAAATTTGAAGCCCCCCTCAAAAAGTGACAGCTCTTAATTTTCACTTGTTTTGACCGCAGAAAAATAATAGAACAATTCTTCTGTTACAAAGAACTCAGAAAGACCACAGCAGCTCAGAATGCTTTTAACGCTATCAATTCCCATTTGAAATTGCTGGGTTTATCATGTAAATCATGTTTGCACACTTTAACAGTTCAACTTTGTGTGGCACCCCACTGCACCCTTGAAAGGATTTCAAGGCATGCTGGTGGAAAATCACTGATGTAATGGTTACACAATTTTTCAATCACAGCACATAAAAAGTAACATTTTTTTGGAATCAGAGGGTGCTAAGGACTGAAGCAGATGTAAGTTTAACACGCTTCTTTTATTTTGTGACATTTGGGGCCATTTTAGTGGTTAAAATTCTTCAAATACTCATAGAAATTACATTTGGGACTAGTTCAAATCCCTCTTTATGGCTGGGGAAAGCTTTCACTCCCCTCTGTGGTCAGGGGACATAAAAAAAAATATTCCTGCCCTGTGGCTCCCTTCAGCCTCTGTGGTCAGGGGACTTACCCCCCCCTCCCCCATAAAAATCAAGGAGCCCCTTGGCTTCCAAGATGGAGGCTGCTGAGGTAAGATCTGAAGGGAAAACAGAGGACTTAGCTTCTCTGATGCAGAGCATTGCTATAGAGATACTGAACATTAAAATTACAGTGGATAAGTTGCAGGCATTTGTAATGAACACTCAAGCTTCATCAGATATCCTGATGATGCCGGTTCAGGGAGTGGAGAACAGTTTCTGCCTGTGAGGACTAGCCTGTGGAAATGAAGCTTTCACAGACAGCTGCAGGCTCTGAGAGACAAAGTGCTGGACCTGGGAGGCAGATACAGGAAATACAACATCCACATTGGAGTGCTTGAGGGGTCTGAAAAGAAATCCCACTGAGCTTGTGACAAAATGACTTGTCAGCATTTTAAAATGCTCAGGGCACAGAAAGAAGTTCAGCTTACAGGTCTAACTCATGGTCATAGAAAGTGCCATGAGTTAGACTGATCCTCCTGACCCAACAGACATCAGCTGTTGGGTCAGGAGGGTGGGGAATTGAGCTCCAATTTGGAGCTAAGCTGGTGAGAGAGGCTGTGCCTCTGCAGCCTCTCCCCCTAGTGCTGCCCCTGCCCTCTCTTAGCCCCAGTGCTGTCTCAGGATGGGAGGGGGAGCAGACAGGGGAGGGAGGTCTATTCTGGGGTTTCCCCAGTCTGTGCTAAAGTGGATGAGTGGGTGGATTTCACCCCCCCCACCTCAGGGTGGCTCCAATCCATCCACCGCACCCTCCAGCACTGGCTGGGTAAGCCCCAAAATGAGTTCCCTCTGCTAAATTCCACCCCCCCACTCTAAAAACAGTGCTGGGAGCAAGGCTGGGCTGCATCAAGTTAGTGAAGGTACTCTGCTTCAGAGTGCCTTCATCTGAACCCCCATGTAATGAGGGTTCAGGTTGTCGCAGGATCAGGCCCTTTTAAAGTACCTTGTGTTAGGTCGCAGCTGTACAGTTTTCTCAGGGGCCAGATCAGGCAAAAATTGTCACTTCTGTCTGTGCCAAGGGGCACTTGTACATGTGACAAAAATTGCCCGTTTTTTGTGGTTTTGTTGTGTCATGCAAACACGTATATGGAATTTTTTGCAATTTAAATGAGTTTGTAACATTGCAAACTAAACCACATCCACGTGTAGTTTAGTTTGCAATGTAGCTATTTGTAATCTTGCAGCCTTTTGACAGCCTCCTCCCTCTCTTCCCCTGCCATGGGAGAGGTGAGCTGAAGGCAGTAGCGGTGAGGGGCCCAGTCTTGTTTTTTGGGGTTTTTTTTTTTTGCAGAACTTGCCCATTTCTGCCATGGACGGGAGGCAAGTTGCCAGCAAGTTGAGGAGCCCCAGAGCTGTGGGAGGCCCTGGTTCTTCCCTCCACAGCAGCAGTGCTCCACCCCCCAGGGATGCCCGGGTGGGCTGCTAGCAGGCTGGATGCTGCCCCAGCTCCAGCTTGGGGAACAGTTGAATCAGGCTGGGTGTTGCCTCTGAGCTGGGGCAGCACCTGCCTGCTAGTCACCTACCTGGGCAGCCCTGGACGGCACTGCTGCCATGGAGAGAAGAACCAGGGCCCCATGCAGCTCAAGGGCCACTCGGCCCATCAGCAGTTCTCATGGGCAGGCTCCCCCAGAAAAGAGAGGGATGCAATCCTTTTTTTTGTTTGTGTGGAGCTTGCCTGCCTCTTACACAGCCAGGGAGAGAGCTGCTGGTGGGCCCTGAGGTGCAGGGGACCCCTGTCCTTCCCTCTACAGTGGCAGCACCCCCTGGGGCCACCCAGGTGGGCAGCTAGCAGACAGGTGCTGTTCCAGTTTGAAGGCAGCATCCAGATTGATCCAACTGTTCTCTGACCCTGAGCTGGGGCAGCATTTGGCCCACTAGCAGCCTACCCAGGTGGCCCTGGTGTGTGCCGCCCCGTGGAGTGAAAGACTGGGGCACCCCGCAGCTCAGGGGCTGCACAGCCTGCTGGCAGCTTGCCCCTTAGCCATGGGAGACATGGACAGACTCCACAAAGAAAAAGGAATGAGGCCCCTTGCTGTCAGTGACAGAGGTTATTAAATTGAAACAGTGGGCTTTTAATCATCACAGTTAAAACCCACTGTTTCAAGTTAGGGGACTAAACCCTCATCACATGCACAAGTGCCCAGAGAGGGCCCACAGATCTTACTGGAGGATGCTTGGTTTGGAAGCAAAATCTAGGTTCTTCATAGATTAATGTCTGCATTTACCATCAAAGAGAGCACACACAGCTGTCACAGACCTAGGAAAGTGGATATGGGGCTTTCATGGACACCTGGTGCTGCCTTAGTTGGGGGTCCCCCTGTGGCAAATCTCGCTGGCCAAGGCGGGGTCCCCACGGCCAATCCTGATGGCTGATCACTGCAGTCAATCACTGAGTCCACTTCCTGGACTGCCACGGTGCTCCATTCTCTGGCTTGCAGGGGTGGCACTGGCACTCCCACCTGCCCCTCCTGCCTTTCTCCTAAGCGGCAAGTGCAGCCAGTCAGGGGGTGCACCATCACTTTCTGTGGTGCACATGCACCCCCGTGCATCCTATGTGTCACCACTGGGGGCTTTCATATAATGCTGTTACTTGATCTTCACTGGGGGGTCGATAAAGAGCAGACTGTGTCTAAACTAGTAGAACTGCAGGCCAGACGCAAGCAATTGAGATACTTCATATGGCATACTGCCATCCTGAATCTGATTCATGGAGGGAAAACCTATAGTTTCTCTGACCCTAAGGAAGCAGAAACCTTTATAACACAGATACCATTTAGAGAGGGTGAATTTATGGAATAATCTGAGTGGTACAAAAGAAAAAAAAGATAAAAAAAGAAGGGATTTTAGTGTTTAAATTAATGGCATTCATACTATTTTTGTTAATCTTTGTCTCCATTGTTGCAAAATGGTAGAGAGCTTTGGCTTACATCTGCCGAAGCCTTCCTAGTGGTTATATATCAATATAGTAAATTTGCTGTTAGTATTCATTGTACTTTATGCTTACCATTTTCTTTTTCTTTTTCCTTTCTTTTCCTCTACCCCCTCATGATCTTTTCAAAAGCACGCTTGGGAGCATATGTTGTAATGAGCTCTAAATATACAGGAGAATGTTGATAAAGATAAAAGTTGTACATTTGATTTAAGGAAAATGGCAAATTGGCAGCTATATACAAAATTGAACATAGACAATAAAGTCATTGAGAATCGCCAATTCTATTAAGTGTGTATCTTGGAATGTAAAAGGCCTTAGCAGTCCTATTAAAAAGACAAAAAATATTGCCTTTTCTTTAAAAATACAGGGCTGTTATTGCTATGCTCCAAGAAACTCATTTGTTAGTATAGAGGAATCTCACAAATTGGGCTACAAACAGATATAGACTTTGTGACACCATAAAAATCTGAGCAAACAGACTTCAAATCCCTCTGTTTCACCACACGTACTTAAATTTTGTGGTGGCTACAAATCTAGTAATATTGTGTGCCTCCTTTTTGTGGCTGACATATGTTTACTTACGCCAACACTCCAGATGCCCTGGGCAGAAACTCCTCCAGGTTTAGGGGCCCTATCCTGGGTGCCTAGGAAAAGGACTCTGGGTGCCGTACTGCAACTGGTGGTGCCCATCCACAAGTGGGAAAACCCCTGCTTACAGAGACACACCCTGTGTCAGGAAATTAAGGAGGGAACTTCCAAAGGGGTTACTTGCTGCACACTTGCACTGTATGTGGGCACACTGGGGGTATCCCTCTGCAGGGATTCACATACGGGTCCCCCACTCTATGCTTGCATACTGCTTTGCAACCCTAGGTGTCATTTACCAGTGGAAGAGGGAACCCCTATGGAAGTTCCTCCCTCCAGGCTTGTAGATGTGCACTGGGAGAATGATTCCCTGGCAAGGAAATCAGACAGGGGATTTCCTATAGAGGTTCCTACCTCTGGTTGTACATGGTGCCCCCAACCCAGGGTGCAACAGTAAGA